AGTTCATTGCCCTGACTTCGATTCATGAGGGCACTACCTAGTTCTTCCAACAATAGCATGGTCTTAAGGCCATCAACATTCTTATTTCTATTACAAAATCTATATAACTATATAATGAAGAGAGTATTCTACATTTGCATAACCTTAGCATTTCTACATTCTGTCTTATCTCTCCTTTTCTCACAGGAAAACCAAAATGTGGCAATATAAAATCGGAGAGGAAATAGAGAAAGACAGAAAGATTTACACAGAGAGGGTAAGTTTTACTATATAATATATTCTAAAAAGTAGAGAGAGAGGATAAATGACGAGAACTCAGGTTTGAAGGAGTAGTTGTGATTTGATGAAGATTCAAAACATTTCCAGATGTAAAAAATGTGAAAGGTTATAAAGGAGATTAATAAAGGACATGCTTTGAGTTATCAATTTGATCATCATATTAATAATTTTTGAAGCCTTAAAGTCAATAATAAATTTTTCTTTTAATTATAGTCATATATAATTGGTGCTTCCTTGAATGATGTTCAAGTAAGAGAGATTATTTATAGTGTTCTAACTTATGATATTCAAATCTAAAAACAATGCTTCCAGTTTGAAAATATTTAAACATCTCTAGCATGAAAATAAGAGCCACATGCTTTTTTAAATATGCAAGAAGAACCAAAGGAAATTAGATTTAGAATTTGTAATAAAAGGAAATTAGTTTTCCTGTTTTTTAAACATTTTTTGTATTAAAAAAAATTCCATTCATTTGGTGTTTAGCCTTTGAGCTTCATGATTTCAGTGGGCATTTTCTGTTCTCATCAGATGCTCGGTAGTTTAGTTGCCAAGTCATTAATGCCGTGTGTCAAATAGTAATTTTGTATATGGCAAGCAAGTGCATTATTGCTGAGCTTCATAGCAACCCTAAATGAACATTTTTTATCTAATTTATTTGAACTAACCTCCTCCTCACATAAATCCTAATATATGGCTGTGTGTGTGTGTGTGTGTGTGTGTGTGTGTGTGTGTGTGTGGTGTAAAACTAAAAGTCAAATCTAGTTTTCTTTGCTTTCTGATCACCTTCAGCAATCTCTGTTCCAGCTCTGTTGTCATTGATTATCCATAGTGAATTAATAAAATCCAGGAGGCTAGAAGATGTTCATTGTTTTTGATTTGGTTTACAGTTAGAATGAAATTATCCAAAACTCTACCATCAAATAACTCATTACAGAGTCAGAGAAGAAAAAAGGCTTAGGAGATGTCAGCCTGTCCTGATGAGACCTGATAAACTAGGGTCAGATGGAAGGAGAGGAGGACCTCCCCTATCAGTGGACTTGGAGAGGAGCATGGGAGGAGATGAAGGAGAGAGGGTGGGATTGGGAGGCAATGAGGGAGGGAGCTACAGCTGGGATACAAACTGAATAAACTGCAATTAATATAAAAAATAAAAATTTAATAAAAAATGTTTAAGAATCGATACAATTTTAGGTAAGTGGCTGGCATAGAGTGTAGTGTTTGAGATGATTCTCATTCTAAACAAAAGGCCTTCTCTTGATCATTTATTGTTCCATCACAAGTACCGCACTGGGCTATGTGATTGCTGCCCCCATTTGTCCATTGTCTGCTCTTTAACTTAGAAACACATGCTAAGCTTCTGTGGACCTAGATTTTCTTAACTAAAAACAAAGACAGAATAAAATTAAGATAATTGTGGTAGATTTTACGTGTAAACAGTGATTTCCATTCAGGAAAAGGACATGACACTTGTACCTAAGAGGGGCAATAACATTTTTTAAATAAAATATAAATAGTTGAGAAGCTTTACACATTTAGACAATATATCAAACAGCTTCAACATTGGACATCTTTGAATATTCAAGCATTCTGGTGGTAAATCTGGAATTACCTAGAATCCCACCTATTTCAACTTCTCTATAATGGCCTTGCACTTTGGATGATCAGAGTTAATCATAGTTTCATTTCACCCATTGATGCTTAAATATTTATAGATAAGTACTCTTGTGGTGTCTCAGACCATTTAGGCTATCATTTTAATAGTTAGTAAAAACACATATTTCTCAGTTTTAAAGGCTGGAAATCCCAAAGTTATGGGGCATGCTGCCATGGTATATGATAAGAGCCTGCTGAATTGTAAACAAGGCTTCCTGGGTCCTCACATGGTAAGCACAAGCCACTGTATGGAACACATTTCAAAAAGGCAGTGTCCCTATTCATGAGCAGTTCCACCTTGTCTTCCCCAAACATCCCATTTCCTACCCATTATACTTTGGTGATCTGGACTTTGACATATGAACAGGGACATATACCATCAGATCAAAGCATCTTGTCATTGCACAGGTAGGTAACACTTTTATCAAGTATGCTTATTTAAATGAAGTTGATTTTTCCCTTCTCAAGTGCCCCACACAGAGGAGAGCTTTGCAGCCGGTCCTGAAGATACCTGATAAAACAGGATCAGATGAATGGGGAGGAGGTCCCCCCTATCAGTGGACTTGGCAAGGGGCACGGTGGAGATGAGGGAGGGAGGGAGGGACTGGGAGGGAATGAGGGATCGGGACACAGTTGGGATACAGAGTTAATAAAATGTAACTGATAAGAAAAAAATAAAATTCAAAAAAAAAAAAAAAGAATTCTTAGTACTATCTTCTTTCACTTAAATTATCAAGCACTTAATACTTTTGATTATAAGAGGCTACTGTCATTTTTTTCTCTTATATTAAAAGATGTAGTTTGTCTCCACAGAAAATCCAATCATGATGAATTTACATGCTTACCGTCAGTGTTAGTATACCTGGAATATATCTGGCATCTCTTTAAGTTGGACTATCTCCTTTACCAAGCCATCAGTCAATAAGCTATAGAGTCCCAATTACAGACTAAACAAAGTAGAAAGTTTCACATAAATTCTTGCTTTTGTCCTCACTATGAGATACCATATTAAATGGGTGCTTGTCCAAGAGCTTTTGATGTTAGTGAGCTAGTTTAACATATCTCTTTAGTCTCAACCAAAGGAGAATTGCTTTTCTAGCCTCTGTTGGTACATGGACACAAGACATACACACAAATTCCTACACACCTCGTATATTTTTATTCCTTAATATTTTTTCTCCTGCTGCATCTTCAGACTTTTTATTCCTTCGTTTTTTGTTAGCTGAAGAATGACTCTCCACATCTCCCAACACTCATCTCTATTCTACCAACCTGAAGCTGCCTTGACAGTTGTTAGTTCTCACATCACCAAGAAAGAGGGTATGCCTCCACACATAGCCACAGCCATAGCCATGCTGGTCTCGGATCGAGATTGAATAGTTGGCGCCAAGTTTCTTTCCTCATGTTTTCTTATACTTTAGTACTGTCTTTTTTTTCTTTAACAAAAAACCAAATTGTTTATTTCCTCTATCTTAGCGACAGTTGCCAAAGCTTTCTAGTAAGAAAGCAAAACACAAGCAATGTCCATAAGATGGCATCACAATTTGATGGGCAGTTCCAAGTAGCTTACATTCTCACGTGAAACAAATATTCTATGACATAATGAATTCACCTGTGCAGGTGAAGCGCGACAAGTCATGCCCGTAAAGGAGAGCTCCTTTAGAGAGTGAAGGTGCCACTTGCACACGGTAATGTGATCTGCCGATGTAGCACAACAAACTGATGGGTGGGGACTGTGGCTCGCTGCCTTCTTATGTCGTGATAAAATGACTTGTAGAAACATCTCCCTTGATTTATCAAACTTGTGTGACTCTTTTCATTTCTCTACAGAGGAAAACAGTGATTTCAGATGCTAAACTGGTCAAAGGCAGATAAACAGTGCATTAGCAAACAGACTTCAAATCCAAGTAGCCCGTGCCTGGAGCCCTGATTCTCAACCACTGCGTACAGTTTTTCAGTGGTGCACTTAGTTCTATTGATAGCTGAGCTGACGGGGATGATTTTTTTTATTAAATTAAATCAGATGAGTAGGCTATATGAGAGTCCCTTCTCAACACTGACAATTGTTAGAGAAAGCACCTTTGCTGGCACGATTTTTGTTGAGTACTCCAAGATGTTATAAGTAAAGAAGTAAAGGGAATCAAATATTCTAATGAAGTATTATATTATTAAAGTATAATAAGTATTAAATATTCTAATAAATGCTTTAATGTTTATTCAAATAAAGTAATAGCAAAATCCCTTAATTAAAATAGCACTGTATCTCTCCCTTTAAAATTAGTGTAACTCTGATATTTAACTCCATTTACTCGTGCTTAATAGACAATTTTCAGTGTTTGCCTCCAATGGAGATTATTTAATTTACTGCTATCATTTTTAAATATATATCTGATCAATATATATATAATATATTAGAATTTTGTAGAAGTATATTTGGTATTGCCAATTACAAAATTATTGTGGTATGCAAATACACATGAGCTAAAAATAGTACATAAATGATATTAGAAACGTATAAAATAATTTCCTTATTATCATACTAAGGGGTTCATATATTTGAGAGTAGACATCTGAACACAACTGAGCAGGGTTGAAATCCTACTTTCTTCTCAGCTATATGAAGTTAAATCAAGGATCTGTGATAATCAGAAAGGTTTATTGTTAGAGGTATCAGGTATTGTTAGAAAAAGGAGACTATTTTTAATTTGGTGTAGGCTAGATGAAGTTTGGGAGAAGGAAAAAAAGTGGCATGGTTTTGTAAGCAATATGCCTTCAGTAAATATCACTGATAAATAAATATTAAAGATAGAAAAAACAGAGACCAAAGTATGAATGAAATAGAAAACATTGAATATATACACAGCATTGCTAATTTTTAACCAACTAATATATTTGATTATAATGTTGTTCTATGCAAAAAAAATGTATGTTGTACTTTATATGCAGCAGTGAAGAATATAAAGAGATAATTTTAGGTAATATCTGAAAAACTGAGGATATTTCGGCTTCACTATTTTCATGTTTTGTTTTTTATTAATGTCTATTCAGACATTATGAAAAATACAAACCTTGAAAACTGCATTTTGCTTCTTTCACTTCATCTAGAAAAAGAAAAAGGAAGATAAAAAATTTGTTAGAGCCAATAATAGTTTCCTCATTTATTTTGGACAAAGGACTAACATTTAACTGTGGAGAAAAAGCACCTGATACAAATTTTCAATTTTAATAACTTAAAAATATTTTGTGGCCTTTTGTATTTATAATAGTTTGCTTCTGTAATATTTCTTAGTGGCATAGGAATTATGGGAGCATTTAAAAAAATGATAAAAACTAAATTATATAAGAGTAAAAATTGTGAGGCAGGGCCACTTCTGGAGATCCCTGGCCAGCCAGTGTAGCCAGGCCAGCAAGACTCCATCTCAAAACAAACAAAAACTGACACGGCAATGCTTAATCAGCTCTTGTAAGGTTACCATCATGAAAACAGCGGAAGACTGTTTTCATAGAAAATAGTTGTGATTTACTGTCTTGCCTAATTCTCATCAGAATGCAGGCTTTCACATCTTTCTCTACTCCCTCCCCTAGTAATCTGTTCTCCCTTATGGACCAAGTGATTGTTGTGTTGTTTATAATGACTGTTCTACATCCCTTATGGAGATTGTAGTTATGATGCTGAATATTCAAACTGCAAGGCACATTTCTCAGGGAAATTGTAATTATGATAATTCAGTATTTACCCAACCAGTGTTTCCAAGTCATTGTTCTCTCTGTGGAATGGGAGGTGAGAGAAAAACACTGAAAGAAAGCAGCCTTTGTGATCCCAGACGGGTCCTCCAGCAAAGAATAGCTGTTATCTGCAATGTGTCCCTCTCAGGCTTTTATGGGTCTCACATGCAGTGCATACAGATTTCATGGGGATGCATCTAAATTACAGAGGTTTCTCTTTTGACTTACACAACCACCTCATGAAGTAAGTAGTATCCTAATTTTACAAAGAAAAGACTTGTACCTTTTCCTCTGCACCATGATCTGAAGGTTTACAAAGTGTCTGTTACATGAATACATGTAGCACTACCTTAATAATGTTCAAAATTTGCTTTTACAAAATGTAATTACTTATTTTGCATACAAGTAACTTGATGGACCTAGATGTCAATTCTTAAGCTTATGCTAATAGATATAGAAGTAAATTCCATCCTCATAATAAGAATGTTTGCACAAGAAATGCTTATAGAATGAACATTTTTATATCAAGAAACAGATTTTAAAGTATACATAGTATAACTTTCATTAAATATTCAAATTATAACTTTTCAGAATGAAGATGCAAAGGACAGGTCCAAGGTCAATTGGTGGGAGCTTCACTCAGTAAGCTAGGTAGCACATGGTTTTGATAGTCAGGGATGCAAGAAAGATGGAAGCTGCAGCCTTTTTATTAATAAAATAGAACTTACTGTATGCAAATACTTTATGGACAGTTTAAAGCTCACAACTACAATACATGTAATTTAGTTTTAAGTCAATAAATTAAACTCACCAAATTTATTTGCTCATATTTACCAAGTTTTCATGTGTTCTTTTATGACTTGGCACGTTCACCAGATTTGATTTAAAAAGAAAGAAAACAAGGAAGAAAAAGAAAAAAAAGAGTAAGGCTAAAAAGGAGTTACTCGTGTATACTATCATATCATCTGTGAATAGTGAGACTTTGTTGTCTTCCTTTCCAATGTGTATTCCCTTGATCTCCTTTATTTGTCTTATTGCTATAGTTAAGACTTCAAGAACTATGTTGAAGAAATATGGAGAGATATGGGCAGCCTTGCCTTGTCCCTGATTTCAGTGGGATTGACTTAAGTCTCTCTGTTTAGTTTGATGTTGGCTATAGGCTTGCTCCATATTGTTTTTCCTATGTTTAGGAATGTGCCTTGTATCTCATATCTCTCCAAAACTTTAAACATGAATGAATGTTGAATTTTGCCAAATGTTTTTTCGGCATCTAAGGAGATGATCATGTGTTTTGTTTTGTTTTGTTTTCTTTCAGTTTAAGTGGGAGATGACATTGATAGATTTTTCATATGTTGAACCATCCCTGCATGCCTGGGATGAAGCCTACTTGGTCCTGGTGGATGATATCTTAATGTGTTCTTGGATTCGGTTTGCAAGTAGTCTATTGAGTATTTTTGAGTCAATGTTCATACGTGAAATTGGTCTGAAGTTGTCTTTCTTTGTAGGTTCTTTGTGAGGTTTAGGTATCAACGTGACTGTCCAGATGATATGATAGCATACATGAGTGACCCCAAAATTCAACCAGAGAACTGTTTCTTCTGATAAACACCTTCAGCAAAGTGGCTGGATAAAAAATTTAACTCAAAAAGATTTGATGCCCTCCTGTATACAAAAGACAAATGGGCTAAGAAAGAAATTAAGGAAACAATACCCTTCACAATAGCCACAAATAACATAAAGTACCTGGTGTTACTCTAACCAAGCAACCTAAAGACCTATATGAAAAAAAAAAACCAACAACAACAACAAAAACCTTCAAGTCTCTGAAGAAAGAAATTAAAGAAGATATCAGAAGATGGAAAGATCTCCCTTGCTCATGGATTGGAAGGGTTAACATAGTGAAAATGGCTATCCTACCAAAAGCAATCTACAGATTCAATGCAATTCCCATCAAAATACCAACACAATTTTTTTACAGACACTGAAAGAACAAGTCTCAATTTAATATGGTAAAACAAACAAACAAAAATCCCAGAATAGCTAAAACAATCCTGTATAATAAAAGATCTTCTGGAAGTATCTCCATCCCAGATCTCAAGCTATACTATAGAGCAACAGTAATACAAATGGCATGGTACTGGCATAGAATCAGAATGATGGATCAATGGAATCAAATGGAAAACCCAGAAATAAACCTATATACCTACAGAAACTTAATTTTTGACAAAGAAGTCAAAACCATACAATGGAAAAAAAGACAGCATCTTCAACAAATGGTGCTGGTCTAACTGGATATCTACATGAAGAAAAAATGAAAATAGATCCATACTTAACACCCTGCACAAAGTTAAAGTCCAAGTGGATCAAAAACCAGACACACTAAATCTGTTTGAAGAAAAAGTGGGGAAGAGCCTGGAACTCAATGGCATAGGAGACAAATTCCTGAACAGAACACCAACGGCATGGGCTCTAAGATCAACAATCAATGAATAGAACCTCATGAAAATGAGATGCTTCTGCAAAGCAAAGGACACTGTCATCAGAACAAAAGGACAAGCTATCGACTGGGAAAGGATCTTCAACAATTCTACATCTGATAGAGGGCTAATATCCAGAATATATAAAGAACTTAAGTTAAACAGCAACAAATCAAGTAATCCAATTAGAAAATGGGGTACAGAGCTAAACAGAATTCTCAAGAGAGGAATATAAAATGGCAGAGAAACTCTTAAAGAAATGCTCAATGTCCTAGTCATTTGGGAAATGCAAATAAAATAACCCTGAGCTTTCACCTCACATCCACCAGAATGGCTAAGATAAAAAAAAAACTCAAGTGACAACACATGCTGGAGAGGTTGTGGAGAAAGGGGAATCCTCCTCCACTGCTGGTGGGAATGTAACTTGGTACAGCCACTTCGGAAATCTGGCGCTTTCTCAGAAAATTGTGAATAGTTCTAGCTCAAGATCCAGCTATACCAGTTCTAGGCATATATCCAAACTATGCTCAAGTACACAACAAGGACATTTGCTCAGCCTTGTTGGTAGCAATTCTATTTGTAATAGCCAGAATCTGGAAATAAACTATATGTCCCTCAATGGAGGAATGGATACAGAAATTGTGGTACATTTACGTAATGGAATACTACTCAGCATTTAAAAACAAGGAAATCATGAAACTTGCAGGCAAATGGTGGGATCTAGAAAAGATCATCCTGAGTAAGGTAACCCAGAAGCAGAAAGACACAAATGATATATACTCACTTGTAAGTGGATATTAGCCAAAAAATATAGGATAAGCATACTATGATCTATATCCCTAAAGAAACTAAACAACAAAGGAAGACCTTAGGGAAGATGCTTAAATCTCATTCAGAAGGGCAAACAGGATAGACATAGAAGTAGGGAAAGACAAGGAACAGGACAGGAGCCTTCCACAGAGGATCTCTAAAAGACAGTATCCACCAGGGTATTAAAAGAGATACTGAGACTCATAGCCAAACTTTGGGCAGAGTGCCAGAATGCTTATGGAAGATGATGGAGATAGAAAGACCTGGAGAGGACAGGTACTCCACAAGGAGAACAACAAAGCCAAATAACCTGGGCCCAGGGGTGCCTGCAGAGACCAATACTCCAAATAAGCACCATGCATGGAGAGGATCTAGAACCCCTGTGCAAAAGAAGCCCATAGGCTGCTCAATTTCCAAGTGGGTTTCCTCGTAAAGGATAGGGGCTGTCTCTGACATGAACTCAGTGGCTGGCTCTTTGATCACCTCCCCCTGGAGGAGCAGCCTTGCCAGGCCACAGAGGAAGATGTTGCAGCCAGCCTTGATGAGACCTGATAAGCTAGGTTTGGAAGAAAAGGGAGGATGTCCTCTCCTATCAGTGGACTGGGGAAAGGGCATAGGGGGAGAAGAGAGAGGATAGGTGGGACTGAGGTTAGACAAAGGAGGGGGCTGCAGTGGGGATACAATGTGAATAAATTGTAACAAATAAATATATAAATAAAATTAAATTTAAAAAAATACTAAAAAGAAAAAATAAGGAACCAATCAGAAATAAAAATATATAATAGTAAAATACATAAGTTAGTGTGTTTTCAGAACACATTCTTCCTACTGTCATATCATTAACAGCTTTGAAACATCCAATATCTATTTCCAACTTTATCATGTTTCAAATACGTTTTCAAGGAGTCCCATCTCTCTTCCATAGTGTTCACGTTTAACTTTAAAACACATCTTCCTTCCTCAGTAGCACTCATCTGCTCCATGTGGAACATTCAATAATTTGATTTCTCACTCATGACAAGGTTGGTGGACAACACAAACTGACAGCCACAAGAGGCAGTATTTAATCTAAATTTTAGTAATATCCT